GTGTGATTTCTGGGGGTCTCACATGCTTCAGTAAGCATGTCTTGTCTTTTCTTCTCCCTGTGATCTATCACAATCATCTGCCTCTCTCTGCTAACTCCTTCGCTCCATCAGCCTGTCCCGAGAGATGTCCATTTTGTTGACCATGTGAATTATTATCTTTCTTTGTCCTTTTTCATCCTAAATGCTGTACCAGTTTCTTTGTTCTCTACTCCGCTGAGTAAGTTGTTTTGACTTTAGTGTTTTGCTGTGTCATAAGCAAGTGGCAATAACACAAAGAAACCCAAAAGCCTGGGTGTCTTCAAAACAAGCTTGGAAACAATGTTCCTCTTTATTTGGCTTAACAGCACCAGCTAATGTTGCTTATGGTCTCCACAAACAGCTATAGAGTAGGAGTAATGCAATACAGAAAGAGATAATGTCTTAAAACCTAAAGAATCATGATCCTGAATATTTGGTTCCACCAATATGAACTTTGATTTATTTGGATGGTTAAATAGCTCAGCTGATGCTAAACTGTTTTCAAATTTGCTTTGCTAAAGTGAATCTGAGTCCGGCAAATGAATAGCCACATCACACTGCTGTGGTTGAAATGCTGAACTCAGCAAAGTAAACAAACCCTGAAAGGACTGGAGTTTGGCTTCCCTCTTTTCCTCGCCAAGAAGAAGGCCAGAGGTGACTTAGGACTGAGGATAAGGTGGCTTCTTCTGCCACAGAAAATTCTATCACCCACTCAGCAAGTTTCAGGACACTTTTTGCTAGCACTTAGCTACAGTTAAAAGGTTGTGCAAGTCAAAGATTTGATGTCAAAACATGAGCATAATGGGCCAGAGACTCCAGATGCCTTTATATCATCTAAGCTGGTGGTGCTTAAACAGCCCAGAGAGGACGCATGCAGGGTTTCCCCTAAGTATCTTTTCTGTTTCAAGAGCAGGCAGACAAAAGAGTTTTATTAGCCATGGGAAATATAACCAAAGTTTCTGCAAAGAGCATGTCATGAGGCTTCCTAGGCAGTGAAAGCTACGTGGTATTTTACAAAAGGGTACACTTTAATGATTGTTAATTGCAGCGTGCTCTTTGTGAGCCACATCTCACATCTAGCTGAGCAGAGAAAAAAAAAAAGCCAGAGAAAATGTCAACAGTGGGTTCAATTGACCTGGAGACTGAGAACATCAGGAATCTCCAACTATTTTTACAGCTTCACTTTGCTTTTAGGAACATTAACACTTCAAAGTATATGATTGTGCCTCTCATCCATGGTGCCAGGGTTTTTCCCTGATCGTGGTCTTTCCCCCCCCACCCCCCCACAAGAACTTGCCAATCAGACACTGTTGGTATTTGGAAGATAGTAATGATAAACACTTAATCAGGTGATTTCCTAATAACATACCTGCTACCAGAGTGTGTTTCCAAAGTACCTCAGACTCTTTGCTCTGGTTTCAGGAAAGCTTTTGTGGCTATTACCTGCCTGCAGCAGAAATTGCATGATGTCTGTTTGCCTTATGGGTGGAATATTATAGGCTTTTTTTTTGTGCTTAGAAACATCAGATCAGAAACCCTGAATAGTGCACTAGCTCCAAGCTTTTGCGCTCCGTGTTCTGAATTCTTTTAAGCCACTTAGTAATCAAAACGCTTTTGAAATAATTCTCTGTGTTTCTTAGATTTTTGCACTTTTGTATGCGTGGTGTGCATACAGCTAATTCTGGTGGGCCATCACTGAGGACCTTCTTACAGCCTTTCAGTACTTAAAGGGTGCTTACAAAAAAGATGGAGAGAGACTTTTTACCAGAGCCTGTAGTGCCAGGACAAGGGGTAATGATTTTCAATGAAAAGAGGGTAGATTCAGATAAGATAGAAAGAAAAAATTCTTTACTATGAGGGTGGTGAGACACTGGCACAGGTTGCCCGGAGAAGCTGTTGATGCCGCATCCCTGGAAGTGTTCAAGGCCAGGTTGGATGGGTCTTTGAGCAACCTGATCTAGTGGAAGGTGTCCCTGCCCATGGCAGGGGGGTTGGGCAAAATGATCTTTAAAGGTCCCTTCCAACCCAAACCATTCTATGATTCTGTGATTCTATGATCTATATGATGACGGGATCAATGTACACAAGAAGCTTTTTACTGTAGACAAATCTATTAACCAAAGACAAAATTTAACATATTAATGCAGGCCTTTTATCTCTGTGTGATAACACAGACAGTATCTATGTTACAGATAATTCTGTCTTATTTTCCATGTTGGGACATTGTAAGACATTTTGAAAACGTTTAGGAATGAATGGTGACATGAAACAGTTGATTCACTTGCTCAAGGGGACGGGTAATGTGCAGAAAAGCCATAGCACTTCCAGCCTACCAGTTCTGTCCTTAGATTGAAGCAAGATTTTCTCCTCATTAGATATTTCCTCTCAGGTGTTTTTAAATGCACTTTGCATGCCTGGAAGAAATGTTCATAGCCTTCTCACTACACCCACAATAATGCTGACTTATTCACTTTTATTTTCTTGCTGTAAATAATGATCTACAAGCAACAAATTCGTACAAGGGAGAGGAGGGGAAACAATGTCCTTTTGGGGAAACAATGGCCTTTCAGTGTGTTCCTAAGAGTTTGTGTAACACTGTGATATCCAAAGGGTAGAGCAATTCAAATGGTCTGGTGAAAAAAAAAAAAAAAACATTGGCTCAATTCCTGCCTGAACCAGTGGTGCCCAGTATAAGCTCATGCAAGTCATTGTAATATGAAGACATCTGGTAGATGGAGTTGGGATTAAGCACTTATGGCCAGCAGAGGCATCCAGACTGCTTGCTGTCTATGATTGCCCGAGTTTGGAGGTGTGAACAGCACAGTTTTCATTTTGCTTTGAACCACAAACATCCATGTCGTTGGTTAAACGTGGGAACTTGCACATGCTCAGAGCACCTAAGCCCCTGAGCTCTGTAACAGCTCAGTGGCACCTGAGTAACTCACCAGTCCATGGAGGGTCCAGCCTGGATGGCATTCTCAGGCAGCATCCAGTACTGAGCTTAGCATAAAAACCGCTGGCGGAGGGGTGCATGAAATGCCTGTTAGGGCTTGTGAACCTGTGAGCACAGAGTAAGTTAAGTGAATTAACACACAATCGCATTTTAATGCCCAAACAAGTCAACTAAGTCAGTCCTTTAATCTGCTGCATTTCTCTTTTTCCTTTATGTGAAGTAGAAATAACAGATTCCAACCTGATGAGGTTTTATGAGGTTAATAGCTAGGAAGTGCCCAGGCACTCTGATGATGAGGGCCATGTAAACACAAAGATATTGTACAAACATAGCAATGCCAAATGCTTGATGCAAATTCCTTGCTCCTAGTCTGATTTCCTCTCTTCCCTTGCACAGTTTCTCTGCCAAGTAAATATACTCCTTTCAGGTGAAAATACTGGCCACTCTGCCTAAAGTATCCTGGTTGAATTACCAGTTGTGTTGGTAGCATTCCTTCTTGGTACGTGTACCTGTATAAAAACGTTCAAGTTTTGAGCCGGTCTACGGGAGACCTTCCTCGCTGTGCTTCCTTGCTGTTTGGGAGTTTTGGGAGAGTACCAGTACCCGCTTAAATGGTAAAAGGAGGGTTTTGCTCTCATTGTGTTTTGTGATATTGTAGTAGTGCAAAGACAAGCTTATTCATGTTAGTAAATGATAGATGACCTAATTGAGACTGAAGTGGAAAAAATCACTGATTTTGCTAAATTGCCTAAACATGCTGGTTTTGGAGAACTACTCAGATTACTTTTCAATCCTCTTGAAAAGATTGTTCCTGATGCATAGGTTTAAATAAACTAACCACTTGTCCCTGACAGTGTTTGCCAAGCTCAGATGTATCTTTGTGAATGAGAACTATAGGCAATGGAAATGCTCTATTTCTTTACTGGTTTTAACTCTTTGTTTATGTTAAATGGCTATGATGCTAGTGCCGTTGTACAGGTTCTTGGAGAAATTATAGTGTAAAATATCAAGGCGTTCCCTTAAAAAAGAAATGTCATTCCAAGTGTAGCAAATATCAGATCATTTAGCTGTGTAGAGCCTGAAGCTAAACTGGATACTGATCGACTGTGAAATGTTTATGTTGGGGATGGAAGAACTGATATGGGAATCCACATTCTTTTGCTTTATATTTTCAAGGGGCAAGTATTAGTTGTATAAGCATATGATTTTCCATAGTCCTCATACATGTGTTTGCTTTTTAAGTATTCTGTCTTGTTCCTTAATTTCACTTGTCTTTATGTAATGCCTTGAAATAGATTCATGTGTGCACTGGATGACTTTGCATGGCCCAGAAACCTACAGAGAGCTATGCCCAGATATCACACAAATCTAAATGGTGCTGCTTGTTTACAAATCTTGAGGATATATCATCGATCTGAATAGGAGAAGCTGAGTTGTACTAAGGAGCACTCATAGTCGCTTTTATTCCTGGTGCTGAGCACAAAGGCATGTGTGCAAGATGCATCTTAAATTGCCTTAGTTTTTACTTGGTCTTATTCAGGAAAAACTGTCAGAGATGTCTATAAGAGCTTCTGTGTATAACTGGTAGGTAAAAAAAAAAAAAAGAGCCTATATAATATGCTATGAATACAGCAAAACAAACCAGAATGCAGTTTCCTGGGATTTATTGGTATGTTGATAAATAATACTCCTTTTATTTCTGTGTTCGCCGCATTGTCACCCCAGCCTTGGGAGCTTTCTGAAACACTGTGCCTGGTTATTCTTTCATGCAGGGCACGAGCCAGGAGTGGTTCTACTGGAAGAAGCAGAGTGGATTGGTACAGGTGATCTAAAATGAGTTTAAGTGGGTGGAAAGACTTAGGAAGTTGGTATGGTAGAAGCAGCAGGGGCTGTCTAATTACATTAATCCCATTCTTGTCCTAAAGCAATGACCACTAATAAGGCAGTGGAGTGATGGTTTAGAAATGCCCCTGTAGTTCTGAAACTCTCCCAAACAGAAAAAGATGACTTTTTTCATTGCTCACCACAGCCATGCACCTGTTTGGCCTAAACTGGCACCTGCAGCCGATGGAAGGGCAGATGTATGAAATCACGGAAGACACAGCCAGCAGTTGGCCAGTGCCAACGGACGTCTCCTTATATCCTTCGGGGGGCACAGGGTTAGAGTTACCTGACAGGAAAGGCAAAGGAACCAGTGAAGGTATGGTTGGTGTGTGTCCATGTTGTGAGTCTTCTCTCTGCCTCTGAACTCCAGCCATCCAGTCTCGTGTTCCATTACTCTCAATGCTGCCATCATCAAGTGCTTCTTCCAGTCTTTCACATCTAGAACTAGTAGTCATCGGTCTTGCTTCCATATGTTTCTAAGTTTCATACTCTTCTGATGTCCACTAATGTGATAAAACTGTGTGCAACCCTCACCACATATCTAAGGCATTCTCAGGGTGGAACCACCTGTACCATATCTCACAGGCTACAGAAGGCCATCATGAAAATCCTGCCTCGAGTGGCTGTTTTCATGGTAAAAAGTTGTGTCTTGAAAATTAAATGATTCCTGGAGCATTGGATCAAGTTTTCTCTACAGCAGTACAAAAATGTTTGGGTTTGCCTACTCGTTGCCACCTAGTACCATGAGGACCAAAATATTTACTAAGAGCCATTGTACTGTGGGTTTTGGCAGTCCAGAGTTGGACATCTTTTTGCAAAAGTAGCCAGATAAAAGGCCTAATCTCCACAAAGTATCACGATGTCGACAGCTTGCAATTTTAACCGAAATTAGAAGCAACTAATGGGTCGTCGATTCAGCAGTGCATTATCCAGAAGCTTTACAGCTTACTGTGCTTTCTATAGAAACAGCATTGCCAAAAGTACCTATAAGGTACTCCTGCAAAGGAGAGGTGTTTTATCCCTCCCAAGACTTAGCTGGAGAAATGAGAAATTCAAATTTTCAGAAAGCTCTTTTGTTTGTATGTCAAGCTTCTTTATACGAAGTTAACAGATTCCAGTAAAATTGAAGTCATTGGCTACTTTTGGTAGTTATTTTGGGGGAGGAAGTTTTGTGGGTGAGATAAGAAGTATGCTACTGTTCTGGCAACTCGTTGAACTCAGAAGTTTCCACAGAGTTCCCTAGACTTTGGCTGGGAGCCTATGTTTACATGTTTAATTTAAATTAATTGTAGCTTTTTTTTCTTTAAGAGCTTATCTGTCTTTATTGGTCCAAATAAAGGCCATAATTATGTGTGTTCCTTAAACAGTGTATTTACTAGCAACTGATGGCTGACATCAAGTTGTTACAAGGAAGAATCAGCTAAGTGGGTTATTCTCAGCAAACCTTACTATGCAGTACAGGAAGCTGCAGATATCCCTGCTGTTGTATTCAAAAATACTTCATGACAGATCCTTTTTTTCCCCCCTCTAATTTGCCATATGTTTTATTTTTGAAACATCTAGTTTTGGTCTGTCCGTTTCCTTTTAAAAGTCAAAATGAAAATAAATGGATGTATCCAAAGCTGCCGTCCAAATCAAAGACCTCCACTTGATATCTTTTCAGCCATGCTTACAGTGACATCAGTAGAAGTTTTAATTGCTGCCAAAAAAGCTCTGCTAAAAGAGAAATCTGGGAAATACCCTAGTTATGTCATTAGAAGACCCCTCAAGTTAGTGCTTCGTATAGATCTTAAGGAATCTGTAGGCTTTAGAGGAGAACATCTTGTCCTGACTAAAAAACACATCAGGACAACATCTTTATTGCAGGAGTAACACTGCCCAGCCTTAAAATGCATCTCTTTCCCCATCAGGTGACTATGCAACTAACTCTGGACTAGCAGCGTTGCATGGCTGCTATTCTAGACCAGAATGTAAGTCATTGAAATTTATTAAAAAATGGATTGAAATTTATTTGAAAGTCTTCTTATCACAGTGAAATAGTCTGGAATGTGTTAGAATATCCTTACAGCTGATCTGAATGAATCGTTACCAAAGTCTTGCCAATTCTCAGTAATAGTCATTCCTTCTCATCTGTGGCTGTGCTCCAGCACAGCATTTACCTGTGTTTGAGCCCATCCCTGTTTAGCAAAGCACTTAATCACATGCTTACATTTAAGCATGTAATTAATTTCGATTTAAGTCAGAGAAATGTAAGTGTGTTCTTAAGTGTTTTGATGAGTCAGGGTACCTTCCTGTCAAAAATACAAGCAGATTCAGCAAGGCCTGAAATGAAATAGTTCATTTTGATATCCAAATAAATTAGAAATAGTTGCTACATCAACTAAATAGTTCAAGGTAATGTGTGAAAAGAGCAAAGTAATTGACAGCCCAATTAAGAATTCAGACCTGAAGTTAATTTTATGGAGTCAGATATTCTGATTAAAACCTAATTTCTGATTAGAAGCTGAAATGGCTTTCTTATTGTACTTTCTTTATGAAATATCCAGTCCAGAGGGCCTGATCCTACTGTAGGTTAAAAACTGATGAAACACGGATGGATTTCAGGGGCTGAATTCAGCTTGGTGAAGAGAGCCTTTCTTTGGACTTCTATATCAGGATAAGTGTCAACCACTGGCAACATAATGCAACAGCTCTTAGGATATCGGCTTCTCAGACATACAGCTGTCCACCAAGAGGAGACATAAACTTTGTAATTGTGGGTACAAACAATTATTTCTGTGAAATTGTCTTTTGCAATCACAGAAGCATTTTTGCTCGCATGAGCAAGCGCTGCTCTCTGTACAGGCAGAATACATACTGTGCTCATTTTCTCCAGGCTATCTCTTGCATAGCAACATCTATCATATTAAATTCTCACCTTCCCTGATTCACTCCAATGTACGATCTATATCGTAATGAACAATCAGGGTGCATATCAAATACTTCAGGTTTTCATCTGAATTTCTAAGAATCCATAAAACATGTTAGTAGTAATCAGAAAAATATATCCTTCATTTGAACCAAAACCTGTGATGTCTTTAGCTCTTTTTTAATGGAATCCTGAATCTTTTCATCTTACAATAATGGAATAAGAAATTTTGCATGAAGACATGGAAACTGTTTCCTTTAATCCTGACAGTATGAAAAGTAATTTTTAGTATGACAAATAAATATTAACAATCCAGTTGATAAAGTAATCCCCTTTGGAATCAAGCTAGTTGATTTTCATTGTACAGTTGTACTCTATCAGCACAAAATGATTCAGAAAGAATGTCCATTTACCTAAGCTGCTTCTGATTATCTCTATTAATATACACTTTGACTGAAAAAGGATAAAAAGTCAGCAGATTTTCTGCCTATATTTATTTGAAAGCGATGAACAAAGATAAATGAGGATCTTGTAAAATTACCAATAGCTTTTTTTCTATGAACGTGTATACACCCTTTGCGTTCTAGACTGTGCTGGTATGCATAAAACTTCTGCCACAAGATAGCACAGAAATGAAATCTGCCATCAAGTCCCACTCCAAGAGCGTACTTAAGCAGTTGCTAGCTTTAAATCAGGCGTTAGTCTTATTCGGACCAGAAGTTCTGCTAAAAAGTTTTACATAAGTAAAAAAAAAAAAAAAGAGAGAGAAAAATTCTCCATCCTACAAAGAAACACCCTCAGAGACTTCTTTTGTTAACACTTAATAGATGTGGCACTTAGGGACATGATTTAGTGGTGGACTTGGCAGACTTAGGTTAATGGTTGGACTCGATGATCTTAAAGGACTTTTCCAACCTAAATGATTCTATGATTCTATGATTCTAATATGCATATAATTTCTATATGGATTTTACAGAGACAGCTAACAATTTACATCTGTTTCTCCTGGAGAGTTTATGTTGGAATAGTATACGGAGAAGTTTAAGGCAATATTATAATTAATATTATATAATATTAAAGGAAATATTATAATTTGAAACAATAAAATGAAAGGTTGTTCTAGCAATCACCTTTTCAACACAACAAGTAAATTCTAAGACTATTTGACCTGAATTCATGATGGGTGGGAAAAGATATCTTTGTTTCCCATTTCCCAAATGTAAGTTCTGGAAGAAAAAAGCCTCACAATGTGATTTTCCTACAAAAGATTATGTGTTCCTGAAAGTTTCCTTCTCATTTTGTTAGAATTGCTTGATCTGTGAAACACAGAGTAGTGTGCTGTAATGGTACGGAGATGAGATAACAAATTTATTTAAATTTCTAAAATTAATAATTAGTCCTTGTTGGTGATATGATGCTGTCCTTACTAAAGCCAAATCTTTACTGCATACTTTTCAACTAGAAGTGTCCTTAAATAAAGGCTGTTTGCTAAGCAGTTGCCTTCTTCAGTCTTTATGCAATGCAGGTAAAGCTGTGGCCACTGCTTATAGCAAAGGCTGAAAAGGCAACGTTCTGGCATTTTATTTTTCATTCTGCCCCTCGTTCCCTGGACTTCCTTTGTGTCCAAATTTTTTGAGGTGGCCACCAGTTCCAAGAACTGTGAGTGTATGAATTTCTAACCTGGAATTTCTCAGATGTGTTTTCTAGGGATGCCGAGCTCCCTGCTGACTCCCTTGGATATTATGGCATGTACTGATTACCATCCGATTACCCGGGCTCTCCAACCTGGTGGTTGCTTTAAGAAACAGATGCCTCCATTTGCTTGTCTTCTGAAAGAAGATGGATAATCATAACACACTTTACAGATTGTATTGAAACCCAATTAAAACCTCTCGTGTTTCTTAGTAGATATTTACTCAGTCCTTTTTTGAACTGTTGAACAAATTTCAAATGCTGTTACCACTGTCAAGAATTAATTTAATAGAGAAACATTTTCCTTTCCCCACTTAAGCATCATTCATGCTGCTGTTCTCCACAGTGCCATTCCATTCTGTGACACGTGTCTACCTCACTATTACTACACTTCTCTCTGCTAATTTAATAATGACTTTTCCATCCATGAACTTATATTCACTTAGGATATAATGTCAGATGATTTATTCTTATCACCAGAATGTCATTACACACTGTCTGATGTTACAATTTAAACAAAAGGCCATTTTTCTCCAGGTTGCTCTTCCCATGTTCGTGTTTTCAAACGAAACAGTTACTGAAGCCAGGAATAACCCTGCCAGTTTTCCTCCCATAATCATATGGATTGGTTACACAAAGTACTCTGAAGACCTCAGGATGCTAATAGACTGTTTCTCAAGATCAGTGTCAGAGATACCAGTATGATTGGATTACTTTTAGGATCTAAGGCTAATCCAAGATTTTTGTTCCTGTGTTTTGGCAGGAAAGCCCAGTAGTTTCTTTCCAGACGACAGTTTTATAGACTCTGGAGAAATTGATGTTGGCAGACGAGCCACACAGAAGATCCCTCCTGGCATCTTTTGGAGATCTCAGGTGTTCATCGACCACCCGGTGCATCTGAAATTCAATGTGTCTTTAGGAAAGGCAGCTCTGGTTGGCATCTATGGCAGAAAAGGCCTCCCACCATCACATACACAGGTAATGGGTCCTCATTTCAATTAAATAATAGTTGTCTTAAATTGTATATTCTTATGGCTTATTGTTTTTATTATTTCAGCTATTTCTTTCAAGAATTTGTTGCATGCTTGCAAGATGTTAAAGGTCATCTATTCAGAGAAAGATAATCAAGTGACAACTGCAAGATATTTACACACATTAACCTGGTGGGCTGTAGGCACAGGCAAAGCAGGCAGTTGCTGCCAGAGAAGGAAAAGGGTTTTGTCGGCTGGCGGTCACGGAGGGTGTCAGCTGGTTGCTTCTAGCAGCATGAGATACCACCTTCTCCATCCAGTGCCCCTTGCAGCAGCAGCCACACACTCAAACTACATCAAAAAGAATCATCTCTTAAGCAGTCTCGTGTATCTCAGGTCTGTCTCCCTCTTTCAGCCCCTGCCTTTTCCCCTCTCATGGTAAGAGCAGCAAGACCCCAGTCGCTCACCCTCATGGGAGCAACATTCGCTTTTGTCTTCTGTGCTGAAATGCCTGGAGCCACCTCTTCACATTATGCATGTTGACTGTCAGATTAGACTGAGATTGGTCAGGGCCCAGTAACTGGTGTATAACCAAACAAAATCAAGTTTTCACAGAAAGCCACTGGCTTACGTAAGCAGAAATCAAGATATAGTTATTATTCTGTAGGACTAAAATGAAAGCGGTTGCTTTTCTTGACACAACTTGGCAAAAGCAATGTCAAGAAATCACTTTCTGGGAAAAGCTCCGAAGAACCATCCCCTTAAATAAGCTTTTTGCGTAGCCACTAATTGAGAGCTGCCAAGTATATATCAAAAATCATAATCTGGACCAAAATATCACCAAAAATGACCAGAGGGACATTTGTATTCAAACAATAAAAATCATGGTACACTAATAGAAACAGATCACCAAACCCACCCTGTTCTGAAGAAATAACTTAATGAAACTGCAGATATTGAAACAATATTGATATATTACTTGTTAATATTTTAGTTTTGAAATTATTCCTTTTCCTAGATTTATTATTTTATAAACCTGCTGTCAGTTAAAACATTGTTCTCCTTCTGTATATTTTTATATGGAGTTTAATCCTTAACATTTAATCTCACCATAGCTTGACGGCCTTGGGAGTCATTAAATAGGTAACCTGTTTTCTGTGTTGAAATTGTACACTTGTCTCTCATAGTTGATACATATTACACAAATCTCATTTTTTCTCTTGCATAATCCAGAGTATCTGCTGTACCTCATAAATCTACTGAATGAGTTTTATATTTCCAAATTTTGTAAGGAATTTCATAAACAAGACTTTGGCAAAATGTATGCTTAGAGCAGTGATACAATCTTTAATAACGGGTCATTTTTTTTTCCCCAGCTTATCTAGTTGATGGAGGTAGTAAAATTCTAGCTGATAATCAGGTTTTCTTCTGTGTTAGATAATTAGGTATTTTTTCTGTTTAGATAATCCATCTTCTGTAGTGTGGGCCTTAACATAGTCTATTCTCTTTCAGGATCTTTGAATTGATCCCAAGGCTGTAGACCCTTTGCATATACTCCTGAATTTGGTAAAATGTTAAAAGTCATATTTATCCATGCTAAAACAACAAACTATTCCAGATTCTCTTTAGGAAACTTTCTCTGTCTGATCTGGTGATCTGTCTTCTAGTCGAGGTTGCCAACAACCATGGACACTAATAAGTAGGAAGAAAATGCAAGCTTCAAATTTCTGTAGTCTTTGAAATAGAGCCCGCAGAAGCCTAAACTATTTTACTGTTAACTAAAGGCATTTCTTCTCATTCTTCTCAACAAATCATAATAAAAGTGACACAATTTTATTATGGTCTATTAGATTTAATCTTCCTAGATCAAATAATTTTTAAACTCTTTTTAACCTAGGCCAAATTTTGTTAAATCGTAAATTTTAGGGATTGACCATCACAGCTTGTGGGAGGCATTTTTCCATTTGTACAATTTGAATTTATTAACATGGTATTTTATCTATGATTTCCTTGCTTGCAATAACTCTAATTGCGTATTAAAAATCTCTGAACGTATTAAAATACAATAAAGCACAAACCATTTGTGGTTCAAGTAATATTTACAAGTAGTAAATAGTAACTTTGCAAAGTCAGCAACATCTGCAGCAGCGTCTTGCAAATATGTATAAGAATAAACTTTTACTTTTGGCAGGAAGACCCAAGTAAGCATAGCCCAGATTGGACTGTAACCAACAGCAGCTCACCATAGCTGGGTGCCTTGAAATTGTTTTCATCTCACTAAGCTTTAAGCATCTACATCTAGTATGTAGCAAGAAATGGGTGCTCGTAAGGCACGATCCACAAGACATTTCTTAGATGTCAACTTTAGGATGAGGGAGAGTGCATTCTAGTAGTGTCTCTTTCTTTGACTGCAATCTAGTGGTTCTAGAAAACTAATTCAAGCTGCCATGGAGATGAACTTGGTGAGATGAACTGTATCTATGCTGTCTGCAGTTACCTGTACCTTTTAAAAATCTAGACAATCTGTCCCATCATGCTCCAAAATGGAAATGGAAATATGTAGGTTTTTCTCTTACTGGTTTTAACTGCTTCAGTACACCTGGCCAATGTGTTCCTCAGTCAGACTCAACCCCGCTGAGACATTCCCAGCAACCAAACAGCACTGTGACGTCCTCCGTCACTGCCCTTCTCAGCTGTGTCGTACCCACACTGAGAGCCGATGAGGAATCAGCCTAGACAATGGCTCGTCCTCAGAGGGTCTACAAATATCTGTCTCACACAGTGTTGCTCAAAGCAACCTCTCACTAGTATCGTCAGTTGTTCAGCTGAAGTTACCCTGGCAAAAAATAAATATGTCCTTTTGAGAAAAATTCCAAAAGCCACCCCCTGAATGGGACTTAAATATATTACTTTATCTCTTTTCCGTCTTCATCTTCTACTATCTTTTAACCACTTTTGCTATTACTTTAAAATAAAACCCTTGCTGACTAAGCAAAATACTTCTGCAAGACCTCTACCAGAATTTACTTACAAATACATCTCATCTTTTTTTTGGTGACCCATAGCAATTCTGGCAAACCAATCCAGTTAGGCTGGATACATTTTTCTGTCTATTTGCCCTACTAGGCAAGACACAAAGAAGCTAACAAATAAGCTTATCATCATACTTACAGTGCAATTTAGGCATGGTCCCTGGACCTCATGTTTCCCTGCCTATGTTTCTACAGAATGAGAACACATCAGTAGGGTCAATATGCCCCAAATCACATTCCAAATAAAGATGATTTCTTGATTCATGTAATTACACAAAAATACTTTCATATACCAGTTATTTCCAAAATGGTTACTTGCAGGTATTCCAGGAACATGAGTTACCAGAGAAAATCCTGTTTATGATGCTTCTGTAGATGTACATTTCTAATACTGGATATGAAGTATGTCTGTCTCCCTCATAAGACAGACCCAGAGCAAGAGACCTAGCTTCAGGAAGCCTGAAATACACACAAACATCACTCTTTTTTATGTTTCAGTTTGACTTTGTCGAGCTCCTTGATGGAAGACGTCTACTGACACAGGAGGCGAGAAGCTTGGAAGGACCTCAGCGGCAACACAGAACTTTTGTTCCCTTGTCCAGCCATGAGACAGGGTTTATCCAGTATTTAGATTCAGGAATATGGCATTTAGCCTTCTACAATGATGGCAAGGAATCGGAAGTGGTTTCTTTTCTTACTACTGCTATTGGTAAGGATTTCCTGTATTATTCTTTAACTCCTAAATATGCCTTGAGGCCAGGTATTAACGCACATACTCAAATTGCATGGTAGCTTTGTGTGGTTTCAGGGAGAATGCTTGTAGGGAATATATTTAGCAACAGGCTGAATACTGTTAGGCCCTACATGTCTCATAACAATTTTGTAGACCTTTTTAGTAACTGTATCTGTAGCGAGATTCTACCCAGTGCCAAAGATGGATTACAAGCTTGAAATTCCCTGCTTCGTTTTCTTCCTTTGATCTTCTTTTTATTTAGATTTTTTCTTTGTTTGGTTGGTTTTTTTCTCTTTCTGGAGCAGAGGTATGGGAATGATAGAAGAGCGTACAGCAGCACCATGCAGCAGTTTTATGTGTCAGGCGGTCCTGCCTTTGGACACCGTCAAAACTACTCAAGCTGGAGTTCAGGCAGAGTACTGGCATTAAAACTCCAATAAAGAGCACTGCAAGGCTTGGTAATAGGAGCCACAATAACAGGAATCTCTGTTTCTCCTTGCTAGCAGAAAGAAGCTGAGATTTCTTAAGAAGAACAAATTAACTAAACAGCCCTCTAATTTTCTCTGGCAGTGAAGTGCCCTGCCAGTTCAGCGCAAAGGCACCGATTTCTTGCTGTCCAAGGAGGAAAGGATGCTGCCTGTGGGCTGCCTGACAGCCTAGCACACTGCGTATTCTTCCTCCACCCTGTAAATATCAGAATCTGTTTCTGATTCAATAATACTTAATTTTAAATGTGACTGACCTGCTGAAACTGTTCATATACCCAAATTCATTTGGTTGTAATTTAAAGATTGCTCCATAAAACCAGCACTCAGCTTTCTTCTAACCACAGTGATTGTTTAATGGACTTTTTTTCTTTGCTGAAAAAAGCAGACTCATTGCAAAGCTGCCATTAATCCCTCTCCCAGAAGAGGCATTGGCGTTGAGTCTCAGCTGTCTGCAATAGTTACCTAAGAGCTATGGGCTGTAATTTGTCTTAGCAGGTTAATTAAAAGTTTAGGTGTTATTAAAGCAAAGTCATTAAGATCCCAATATTCCGTTTTAGCGCTAAAGTTTATCTAATGCAGAAGTGGAAACACTTCTGCAATACTCTGTGTAAAATTTAAAACCTGGAAATGCACATGTTCAATCCTGTTCACAGTTAAGCAACACTTAAAATAGTTGCATGTTAGCTTATGAAATTGAAGTCTTGCTCTTTAGAATGTGAATTTATTTTCATTTAGTTTACTTTAGCAATTTGAGCTTTTACTTACACCAACCACTTTCTGCCCAGAAGAACCTCCAGGTATTCTTCTGAAAGCAACTTTTTTTTTTTCCTTGTCTAAGAATTTCTTCAGTTTAAAATTTCCCATCACAGGGAAATCTGTAAGGCTTCCACAGCAGAAAACACTTTTAAAGCACAGTCAGTAGTTCTTCTTGTTTTCAAAGTGATGCTAAGTGTTCTAGCCAGACATTTCTCTTGGCCTCATTGCATTAACATAGGGGAGAAGAAAAAAAAAGACAAAACATTCTTAATTTACCTTTGAACAGTAGGGGAATGGTGTGGGTGAGAAGCATGTCAGACTGTCTTTAAGGCAATCCTATTTTTTATTGTTTATACTCTGCTGTACCTTTATGACCATGCGACAAGCAGAACAGTCCATGATATATCCCCTGTTGACCTTGAATCATTCTGTCTTTCAGTACAAGGAAGTTTTCTTTTGCTATAGAGCAAGAGAGAGCTTGGCCCCATATGTGGGAATCACTTTGCCCACTGGCAGCTGTATAGCAACACAAAGCTATAGTGTACAGGAAAAACTGTTTAGGTACAAGCCATGCACTTTGAAACTTTCTTGAGATAAGTAAAAGTTTTAGATCAGAAGATGTGGCTTCTTGGCTAGAATTTGGCCAGAGAAGTGCAGCATTTTTGTAAGTACCATTAGGAAATGTAATAGCCTTAACAAGTTGGTACCTTTCTTCTTAGCCTAGAAGTTGTTTGTTTAAAAAAAAAAATCAAGGCAGGTGTTTTGTGTAAATGTACTGTAATGCTTCAGAACCTTTCTAGTGTATTCATGAGGTCTGGCGAGACATGGTTGCTACATTTTAAGTCTATAAATACTATAGTACTGTAGTGTTACAATTTTTGTTGGTGCCAGATTAAAGAGGATACAGCAACCTGACACAGTGTTTATCAACCAGCGTGTAAAATTGCAATGCCAAATAAATAAACCAAGTCACACGTGATGGGAGCCTTATACCTATCTGTGTGGGGTGAGGAACCTGCAGAGTTGTTGTGTTGACAGTCAGAGGCAAGCTGCCATTTAATTTTGATTTCTGTGGCAGGAGCACGTAGAAAAATCTCCCTTTATTGTTGCACAGGCATAGGGCTTACAGTGAGAGTGTGCTTGAAAAGTATAGCTGTGATGCAGGAAGAAGTAGGATCCGGTGATCTGAGAAGAGGACCAGCAGCCTGGAACTCCTGAATTCTGATTGATGTGGTAATTCTGACCCAGCCCAGGCTCAGGCTTCTGCTGCTCACCATGTAAAACCAAGGAGAGTGACATTTCCCCAGAGATGCTGTGAGGCTGATAGAACTGCTGGGAAAATGCATTAAGCATTAATTAATAATCATGGATAATAGTAGAAAGCACAAAATTGATAATGGTGATCATAATGATAATTTCATAAAGCCAAACTGCAGTCATTCCTCAGGCAAACCTCCCCTGTGAGTGAGGACTCACCTGAGTAAAGGACCGTAGCTTTTACTTCAGCAGTAAAATGCTGAATGGAAAGGGTGCTGATTTTCTAAGTATATCTGCTATGTTCCAACAGACCGAACTTTTCAGAGCCAGTATAATCATTGCAGGCTCTGTATGACAATATCAACTGCAATTACTGTGCAGTGCTTGTCTGGAATGATTTGGCCTCCATTATTCTAGTGAAAACTGGAGAAAAATGGAAAAAAGCATTTGTATTCCCAGTTTGATAACACACAGTTAATTTCATAAATTGTGAGGCTGACCATCATACAGTTTTGGAATCCGATATAGCTATAACTAAATCCACTCAGGAACATTAGCACTGATTTTGAGGGCAGGAGATGGCAGTTTAGCTGTTTTCTAAAAGGATGTGGAACCATCATCACTAAAGAGTTAGGTGGTGTCAAAATGTGTGCCTGTTACATGCCACTCCACGTAAACCTGGGGAGAATACAGCATTGTAATACCTGTCAGAGCTTATACTTCCACATAATACAGGCAATTCAGGTGGAGGGAAAAAAAGATTATTCTGGGAAAGTTTTCGTCATTTAATAGGATTTTTATATCCCATTCCTCTGAATTACAATGCAAGACATTATAAAGGAATGGACAATCAAGGTCTCTCAATAATAAATGAACCTTTTTGTAAATGACATTGGCGGCACTTTCTGAAATTTCTAATAGAAACACTTCTCTGAAAAGCGCCTTGTGGATTCACCTTTGCCCGATAGTGGTGGTTTATTCAGAGCAATCTTGTATAAGTGGAGCAAAATAGTGGGCTGAGGAATCAGCTGGAATCAGCACATCTGAGACGGAGACGTTGGCCAAAAATTTGCTCAGTAGAAGCAAGAAACATCTGAAAGCCTGAAAACAGCATCTATGGAGTCAGAGAGACAGTGTCTTCCAGCAGCTGTTACTGCTGAGCTCAGGCAAGCTTGACTGTGCAGGGCCACTGAGAAATCAAAAGGAAAAGCAAAATCAGCTGTCTGTGAGCGGAGAGCATCTCTGTTTACCAGCATGTCACCCAACAAGCAACAAGAAACACATGTAGAACACCCGTGATAGGATGCAAGGTTTTATCTCGCTTTTATCTTCTGCAAGAGACAACACTTACATTTAAGAAAAGGACCATTGTTCCTCCTGCCCCCTCCACTATCCGTAAAGAAAACTACTGTAAGTACTTTCGCCCCTCAAAGCGCAAAGCGAGTTGGTGGTGTTATTTATAAGGGACTGCCAGCACACACAGCACTTTGCAATATACATCAAAAGGCAAGCTCCCTTCCTGCAATAGCCTAAAATATAACCCACCCCCATACAGTCCCTAGGACAGCAGCTCACACACAACAAGGATACCAACAGAGGAGCACTTCACAGTAGGACTGGGCTTAGAGAGAAGAGAAGAAATTACAGGGCACAGAGGCAAGCTTGCGGCTGGGAACCCTCCTTGTGTGAGAGGTGACAAGAATGACTCCTCCTTAGCTCTGAGTGAAAATGCCTTTGTGTTTAGCTTGTTCTCAGCAAGGGAAAAGGAAGAGCCTGAGTAAGTCAGATTTGCTTTCCTTACTTTTGCTGCCTGTGTATGCTAACTTAAACTCTACCGTAAACTTCCAATTCAAAGGAGATGCATAAGTGTGATCCACTTACAGTCTCAAAGCCATTCATGTTATTTATGCTTGCTTTGCTGATGTCTGGAAAAGTCTAAATTGGTTTCATGTAAATATTGAGGAGTCAAGAGACTGTGCAAACTAACATGGATTATGATGAGTTCTGGCTTACACTTTCTTTTAGCTCCTTAATGCCCAAATTACTTGACTTAAAACTCCCCCATGTACAATTAGATCTTCAGGACTCTGAATAAGGAAAAGTGGCTTTAATGTCCCGGCTACCCTTTTCTGAACTTCTCCTTAGGCTATATCCAGCAAAAGAGGCTGAAAGTTTGGCAAGTACTTTGCTGAATCAGGACCCTTTAACTGTTAATGGGACTCCAGCTGCTCCATGCAAGTGCTCAGTTACTGCAAGTGTTGTTCTCTCCTATTGCATGAGTGTGGTCATCTTAGCCCTTCCCCTGTTTCAGAGAGGGACTTCTGAGCACTTCCACCTTGTGGTAACCCTCTACAGATTATTAATTAGTAGCCTGTTCCTTCCCAGACTCACAACTCTTTTCTTGCTCTGCACAGAAAAAGAAATATAGCAGCATATGAGAACCATGGCAGGGAGGAAAATCACAACTTCATTTTT